CAGAAAACATGTGTACTTGTCTGGACTTCACTTCTCCGAAGTCTATTGGCTTCACACAACGAGGGACAAGTATGCGTTCGAGCATGGGCAACTCACTTCTCCAATTTTCCCAACGGCTTCGGTAGGGTTCAGTGAGTTCGTCTCCTACTCTAGCTTTTCGTCTTTGCAAAGGTCTTGGAGCAACTTTTTAGCTCTCAATGTGAATGGAGCGGCAAATCCTAGGGGATCGTAGATTGATGATACGATTGAAAGTATTCCTATTCTCGCTGGAGGTTTATCCTTATTAGCAATGCGAAATCTGAGGGTGTCGGACTCGACGCACCACTGTACACCAAGAGCACGTTCAATGGGCAGCTCATCGTAATTTAGGTCTAACGTTTTCACATCTTTGGAACGTTCTTCCTCGGGAATGGACTCGAGGACACTCCATCGGTTGCAGATGAACTTAGTGAGGCGAAATTTGCCTTTTGCACGTGACGCAAACCGTCGATCTGTTCCTTGGCTCTAACTGTGGTGCTAACAGAAGGGAGGCAGTCGTCCACGTAGAAGTTTCGGCGCATGGTACTTGCAACGACACTTCCGTATTCTTCTTCATTATCGTTTGCTGTCTTTCGCAGGGGGTGATTAGCAAACAGCTCTGAAGGGGTGAACGGTCATTCGGTACTCATTAAGTTGAACCGTCACGTCTCCTTTTGGCCACCATAGGAAACGTAAGAAGTCACGTTGCTCTTCGGGAACAAAGACTTGGTAGAATATGGCTTTGATATCAGCAATAAAGACCACTGACTCTTCGAGTTAGGACTAGCGAATCTGTGAGATCGGGTCCTTGAAGTAGTTGATCGTTAAGGGACGTTCCAGCAAACTTGGCGCTGCAATCGAAAACCACTCTGATCTTGTCAGGAGTTTTAGGATGATACACACCATTATGGGGAATGTACCACACCTTACCAGGATCTGTTTTTAAGATTTTTTGTGGGACCTTTTCTGCAATTTGATTGGCTTAGAGCAGTGGTATTTCAGCTAAATTTGAAATACCTACATGTGAAAATTACAAAACCTTTGCAGGTAGTAGTATAAACAAATAATAGCATGATTTGTACGTGACATTTGGCATAAATACCACTCGTGATATTTCAAAATTGTCACAAATTTCACTCGCCTAACGGCTGGTGAAATTACGTATAACAATTTCGAATATATCACTCGTGGTATTTATGCCAAATATCACCACTAATCATACTATTACCTATACTAACTTGGTACGTGTACGCGTACAATTTTATTTTGAGCGCGCGCATTATTTGTTTATTTATTTAATTGACGTGTACATTTAGTTCGTTAATTAACGTCTAAATTTTACTTTGCGTTATTTTCCACACTTATATGTGTTGTCCGTGACTGTGCTCACATGGTGGGTGGCTCCTCCTAAAATGCTCTGCAATTGATATAGGATTTAATGGAGCCGAAACCAATTGCGGAATTGCACGCATTTTAGGCAGCCTACTGATGAACAGTTTCGACACGTGGATATATATTTTTTTAGCAACTACTATAATTTACAGTCTGTCCACTTTGAATCTTTAGCAGTGATTTAGGGGTGATAATTTCCTTAACACTTTCAATTTCTCTGATGGTTATTCTGTTAACGGTTACTTTGTTCGTAAACGGCTCGGAAGTCAAATGTAGTGAACCAATGACGATACTTCCTATTAAATGTCCGATTTCTAATTCAGGATCATAAACTGGGATTTCAGAAGCAATCTCCTTTAGGTGCTCAATACGGCTGACGATTTCTGGAGTGGGAATCTGTTCGGTATCTGCAGGAATCTCTTGCTCTTGGAAGCTCAACAGGATTATTGCCGTTCAAGTCAGTTACAACAAGATCTTTGACTATGGCGCTATCTACAAGGCTCTGGCCGTGTATAGTTCCTAATTAAGTAACGGTACTTGTTGCCGCAAGGCGCGTCCTGAGATGTTCGGTGATAAAGCATCCTGCGCTTCCATGTCTTCATTGCCTCGTTGGCGCCTTTCTGTGTCACTACCACAGGTCTGCAGCAGGATATCGTTTTCAAGATTAGATTCTTGGGGGATGTCCACACATGCATTGTTCACCTCCAGCGGTTTATCGTTGCCAGTCGTTTCTCTGTTAACGGCACCACTTTCTTTGTCAAGGGAGAAGCCTTCCATATGGAGTAGAGCGGAGTGTGGGCTTTTGCATTTCTTACATGTTCTCTTTTTTGTGCAGTTCTTCGAGAGCTGATTCTTCACGTAACAAGCTTTACAGAGCGCTTTCCCCGATAAGAAGAACTTCCTTTGTTCCACGGACTTTTTCTTGTGAGCATCACAATCTTCCAGGTCATGTGACTTTTCGCATTGGGGTCATCTTCGTACGTTGATGTTTTGGTTTGAAGACCCGGTCCCGTGTGAAGATGGGGGCTCAAGGACGGTATCCAAGCCGGTGACGAAACTACCGACTTTATGCTTGAAGGGTAGGGACCCTTTGTTGCTCTGTGGAGGGCCGTTTGTCCATTGTCTTGCCTTATTAAGCGCTTCTTTTCCATAAACTAGATCATTTGCAGACTGGGCAGCATATTTTAAGAATTTTACTAGTTCTGCGAAGCCTGCAACCTTGCCGTCTTTGCATCTCGTTTTCACTACGTTTTCGCGCCACTTTGTTTGTAGAACGAAGGGGACCCTCTGAACTACTGCCTGCATGTTTGGAGGATGGTTTAGGACGGCCAAGTGTGAAGCTGGTTTTTATAGCACAATGGCACTTACTAATGAAAATAAAGAAGCTCTTCAGAGCAGGCCCATCGTCATACTTGAGAATTGGCCACTCGGTTAGCCTTTTCATGTACGCTGTGGAGACTTTGTACGGATCACCACATTCCTTTTGAAGAAGGCGACGAGCTTCCTTATAGCCTTCGTCCGGTTCGATAAGGAGACAGAGGTAGTAGAGCCTGTCTGCGCTGTTGGTAACTCTTGACTGAACGCGCGCATCGAACGCCATCAGAAAGGTTTTGAACTCCATAGGGTCCCCTTTGAACTTTTGTACTTCAGGCTGGCTCTGGGAGGGCAATTGCAGTGGTTAACCAATTCTGGGAGGCTACCATTCCCTGTATTTATTCGTGCTGAATTTTAAAAACTTCCTTTAGCACTTTGTTCTCCATATTAGTTAGATATGTGACATCTTCTTTATTTGTTTCGGCGGGAAAGGCACGGTAATAAGACTCAGGTTTTTCTGAGTTCAGCGGTGAGAATTCTCTCTCTTCGCGTTCAGTTTTGATACTGGTGGAGCGAATCGGAAAATTGCCAGGTATCGACGGCTGTTCGTGTTTACGACCAGTAGCGGGTGTTGGTAACGCAAGAAAAGAATCATGTCTTTCTTCATCTACTTCCGGTAATTTCAGTTTTTGTTCCCTCTCCAATTCTTCGAACGCCCGTTCTCTGGCTTTGGCTTTAGCTATTTCGAGTTCGATTTGTAACTGTTCTTCAGCGGCTTGCAGTTTGATTTTTTCTTTTGGCAAGGAGCGTTCTGCCATTAATTCGGCGACTTTGGCTTTTTCTTTCATACGAGCCGACTGCAAAGAGCGTGACGAACGTGACGAACGTGATGAGCGTGACTTAGCTGACCGCTAATCCGGTAATCTTTCTAAATTATCGCTTATTCTTGCTTCTAACTCGAGATCTCCAATTAGAAACTTCCTTGCGGTACTCGAAAATTTCACTTTCCTTGTCATTAACCGAGAGGCGATTTCCCTTTCTTCCGGTGTAGCTAATTCATCATAAAAAAGATTATGGGCGTCATGGAATTGTTGACATAAACTGTCCAATTGATTGAGTTCAGCTTTGACAACATCTAAGTTTCTCCGGTCGGTCATTAACTTGTTGATGTCGATTCGTTTGCGAGAGACCGCTATTAATGTGTTTGTTCGTCGTTGTTTCAGCCGACAATTTTTTTCTTGTGAAAGGTTTGAACCCAGGAGTCATTTCAAAAGTAGGTTGAGTTTGATCGTCCGGGTGAACGTAGTCCTGAATAGGACTGTTGTTGTTGACAGTGACTGATGTTTCGACAACCTGTGCGGTAGTCATCTTCAGAGGCACAGTGAGTTGTATCACGTCAGTTGATGGTATTATACTCTGGTTATAACTCACTTTGACTCTGAAGATGACTACCGCACAGGTTGTCGAAACGTCAGTCACTGTCAACAACAACAGTCCTATTCAGGACTACGTTCACCCGGACGATCAACCTCAACCTACTTTTGAATTTTTTCTTCTTCGCCTTTTTGCGTTCATTTTCGGATCCTTTGAGATTCTTCATTATCGGTATTGAAGTTTTTGGCGTTTTCGTTTCCCTTTTCGTTTTCCAAATTTTCTTCTTCGATATCTTCCAGAATGCGATGGGTAAGTTCCGTTCTGTCATCGCTGTTTCTGAGCGTGACGACAACACTTTCGCTCAGTGTTCCTTTGTTTGACCACGTGGCTTCGTTCGTTGCCATTTTGGACGTTTTTGATTGTAATTCAGACGAACCAAGCGTTTGAACGTTGCGTTGTATGGTACGCACTGTACATCCAGTGGAAAAAGACAGTTAAAACATCACAAATTGACACAAAACTCTATCAGCTTCAGCTGTCAAAGTAATTAAGTTTCAAGATGCTGCATAAAATTTTCCACATGAGCTAACCTGTCAAATTTTGACCAATCAGAGCATAAAAATTGGACGAAGAGCGTGACCAACGCGTGACCATCATGAGAAAAGTCAAAAGCAACTGTGCTTCCCTGCCTGTAACAGCTGGCTGAATTTTCGCTTCCGAGGTCCCTCCGAGGTCAGTTTGAAATCAAAATATTAATAGTGCGTCACATAAACACAATCTATTTCATATGAATTTTTTTAAAAAAATAAACCTGAGCCTGCGATCATTTGAAAACTAGTAACTTGTCAGCGGATAACTTCAAAAAAACTCGATCTCGATGGGTCGATACCTGAGCCCGCGATACGGTCAGGTGATACTGGTCAGCGGATACCCTGTTTTAACAGCTGTCAAGTGATCACAACATTGATGTGCAAAATGAGGAAATGTGAATGCAATATCAAGTTGCTCCTGGGCTCCCATGCTAGCTAGAAAATATGGGATTAAACATTGCCTTAATGCGGTGCGGACGGACGGTTGCTCGGTTGCTCGGTGAACGGTCACATGATTACCAAATTTTCTCGGAGGCGTAGATAACAATTATTCACTGAGAAGCAGCGACGTAAATATCCACCACTAGCCACCGACAATTGTTTTCGTATATACTAAAACAGTGAGATAATTGAGCACAAAAATGGTGACTTTTAACTCAAATACTGTTGCCAACGATTACAATTTTGGCGCGTAATGACCGAACGGCCGCGGCGTTGCTTTTTCTTGCTGACGAATAAAACTTTTGAAGGCATTTGTTTAGCTCTTGCGGGGAACTTTCTTCAAAAGGAGTTGTGAATTCTTTTTGTATTTAAAATCACTCTGTAAAAAAAAGATTATTAAATTTATAGTGTTAAGTTTATTTATGAACAAGTCAACTAAATAAAGTTACGACCGTGGAAAGTGACATCGCTTGTTAACTTTGCTGACCGTGACTTAAAACTGCTATTGCGGAATTTTCAGCATGTTGAGAAGAACTCGTTTTGTTTTTACCCCCTGTCCCTGTTGATAGATCACTTAAAGTACGTGACATTTTAGCTTGTTGATTTTTTGAGACCATTGAATAATTTGTCACACTGACAGTTGAATGATGTCCGTCGCAGGAATTCCGTTGTTTGTGAAAGTTTGAATCATTGTTTTGCGTCCGCTGTGGTTCTTTACATGGGGCTCAAGTCCAGTTTTTTCGGCCGTAGTCTTCAGAAGAGAATTAAGTTTATTCAAGCCAACTGCTGACTTTTTGAACCATGGTTTAGAATAATCGTGATTTTTGCAGGTGTTTACTGCCACGTAAAAAGGCGCGTTGTCTTGGGACATTTCTGACGGCATTGTCTTCTCGTATAATTTGTATACAGCGATCAGATCTCTCTCACTTTCTGGAACCGCAAACATTTTCTGTTTAATTTGCCTGATGTCTCTGGGATTTTCTACAGTCCGCGTTTTTGTTTGTCTTTCAGAATACTCTAAAAATTCCTCGCCATTTTTAGCTTGTCAAAGCTTCACGTCCCCCCTACACATATCGCGATGTTCCTTACAACCACGAAGCCCGAAATGGACTGTGTTAGTGAATCGAAGTTTATGAGTAAAGCATCAGGAGTTGACTTTCCTAATAACTCCTTGTCGTGAAGTAGTTTGATGTCGCATTCTATGAGAGGAACTGAAGAATTAGGTTTTCCGCCTTTGCCCTTCTTCTCCAGGTCTTTTTTTTTTTACTTTAAGGCCATTCTTGCTTTTTCAAACTCGATGTCTTTTATAACGCTGCAGCCGTAATTTTTTTTTCTTCAAATACCTTTCAAAGCTGGCCAACATACCACGCAATGAATTGGGCTCATAATCTTCGTTGTCGTCTTTCTTTCTCACTGTTATAATGAATGAATTGAGTTCGTCTTGGGCAATTTCTTCTACAGCTCTTGACTCGCCTTTTAGCGTCAGAAATTCCTTCAGCAGAGCAATATTCTGCTCAGTTTTCTTTCTTGTCCTTCGATGAATACCTCCACTGAAACTATATCTGCGAACCTTGAAGTGGCCGAAGACGACGCCATCACTTTACTGTTTTTTTTAGTGAGAGCAGACAGGGAAAGGCGGGAAAAACGATACGATTTTGTTTACTAGTGACTGGACATACGACAATTTTCACCAGTGAGAAAAATCGTCCGAACAATCAAATTGACAGTAGTTTTCAACAGATGATATTTATTTGTCAAATCATGTTATAGTCAATCTCAGTACATATATAATAATCGAATCTCGTACACGACCTGGGTATTCACTTTTTTTTTTCAGTTTTCGGTGAGTAAATGATTCAATTGCTTTCTATGTTTCAAGTTCATTTTAACTAGTTAGTGGAAATACCAATTTTAGAAACTTTTATTATAATGGACATTAATTAGCGCCTTCTTCATCGACCGAGCTTGCAGCAAACCGTACTGATTAGGCCTAGATACAAATATCACGAAAAATCGCCAAAATATGTTTCCAGAAATACCTGATTTTTTTCGAAATATCTCGAAATTTTTTTCTAAATTTCTCCCGAAGTTCTAGATATCTCAAAAACATCTGGCTTTATTTCTTAAACATTACAGTAAAAGCACAAAATAGCCTGTAATCTAATATGGTAACACAAATTTCAGCAAATTTCAGGTAATTATGTTTTTGTACAGCATAAAACAAAACTCTAGACAATTTCACATAAAGTCAGCCTTATTTGAGTAACCCGCAGCCTCCTAGAAAACTACGCCGCTGCACTTTAATACAGGGAGAGTTCGTGAAAGACCTCTCAGAGGTGCTGAAGGTCTAAAGCGGTTCTAAAGGGACACTACTGTCTGGTTAGTACGAGGCTCAGAGGGTACGTCATCAGCCATTTTGTTAAACATTAGCCACATTGCATACATTACAAACGGAGAATAATGCTGAATCCGATTACAACAGGCCCGTATGTGGAGATTTGCTTGAATTTCTGTCACTGAAATGCCCATGCCCTAATTAGCATCGAAGTAGCTTCGTAGAAAAAACATGATTTCAATACTTTTTTTGTAACAAAATTCTGAATATCATATTTTAAATAGGCCACTTCCGAGTTCCAAAACCCTCACTTTCAAAATGAGGCCAAGTGTACAACCTTTGTAGTGAAAGTGAGTTTTATTTGCATGAGAATGAAAAACATTTCCATATCGAAGACTAAGCACTAGACCTAGTTTTGATACAGAGTCCCGGGGAAACTCGAAAATGGCTTATTCTAGAATAACCATGTTTCAATCCCCTGCTTAGAAACGGTGGCCGTAACCAATATCGCATTTTTTAAACTTTCTGCTTTAATTTGGTGACTGTTCCTGATCAGCAAACCTCCTTTTAAAGCGAATAATGGTTGTTTATCGCTGTCGGAAGAGTTTCGTCTTCGTTTTCAGTGTAAGGCCTGGGGCAAACGACGAATCTGAGTCGCGTCCAAATTAAAAATAGGTTCTACAAAGGGTCGACATAATTCCGGCGTGGTAACAAACATCGAACCTGCGTCGATCCCATTTCACATGTTGCACTTCATAAAACAGGGTAATAAGCACGTGTCCCTGTGCTATTCACTCGATGCGCGAGTGTGTTAGCGAAATGCCGAAATACAGCGCTCGTCCAGCCTTTCTTTTTTTACTGGCTTTCCATCCCTCAACGTCCTCGTTTTCTTCAAGCACTGAGCATTTATGGCAAATAAGCAATTTGCATCTCAGGCATTTATATTTAGTGTTCATGAAGCACGAAAAACACATTTCCATCACGCTGTGCGATGTCAGCAATGACGTTCGATAACTCGCCATTCCCGGTCACGAAATTGTTTTTGTACAGCGCAGGCTGGTCAGGGGAAGATAGCGTTTGGCAGATGGGGGAGTCGGTATTTTTGTGACGTTTGCACAGTCCATCATATTTGAATCAATTACTTTGTAATTTGCATCATTTATGAATTGAGCTCAGCGCGTGTTTAGAAAGGCGTTTGCTGAAACGCCGAACCACTGTAGCATTATCCGACTTGGCAAGTCGAACTTATGCTAGAGTCGAACCAATTAATTTGAGTCGAACTTAATTGTGGCAAACGTCGCACCATTCATGCGCCTATTTCAAAATTAATAGGTTCGACGAATTAAATTCGTCTAAGATTCGACTTTTGCTCTAGGCCTAAGTAACACTTAACGTTGTTAAAGTTTAGTTTGTCTCCCTCAAAGCACGACTCTTCTCCTTGCACAAACGGCTTGTGTTTATTTAACACAAGGTAGCTTCCAAACAAATTCTTTTACCATAATCCTTTACGTTCATTTCCAGTTTCGATGTAGTTGCAGTCGGCGGTTGGAATTCGCCAACGACAAATCAATAACTTACCGTAGGGATTAGCCGAAATCTTCGCCGTAAATGTACGCGTAAATTCGGAGTCGCGTTTCTGGCAGTCTTGTTCCATATAAGGTGCCGGCGCTGTTTGCAAACTTTGATCGACGGACGTATATTTCCAAACAGTTCATGATTTCGAAGGTCGAGCTTAGCAGCGAAAATAATGGTAAAGAAAGTATTCGTCTGAGTAGTAATTTTCGCGATTTTCCTATACACAACATCGGCGACGTTACTGTATTCAAATTATAGCCGCACCTGTTTCGCTCAGCCCTTACGGTCAGATGTAATGATCCACAAGTGACGTCAACAGTCAAAGGCTTACTCATGTCAAATGAGACGGGTCTGATCGCTGCTACTAACCCAACAATCACAGCCGGGATTCCTGAAGAAATGATAACAGTGACAATATTTGTTACAAAGCAATAACACTCCTTTAAAAAGTAAGATATTTTAAACAAGAATTTGAAATAGCCACCATGCCCTACTTATACATTAACCTTTACTGCCTTACCAATGCACGCTCAATAAACCTCCAGAACAGGGTACAGTAAGCCTGGATATGACGAACGAACATTCTGCTTCATTCTATATGGCTAAAACGAGTGCATTTTTGTTTGGCTACTCTAAAACCTTTTGAATCGAAATGTTCTCTTTAGTTGAAATATTTCAAGTTCCATGGCGTATTTACCCCATCCCATTCCTGCGTATCCTGCGTAATGTTCTTTAAGAGAGTAAACTTTGACCAATTTAATATAAAGGTTTACTCCTTCCACCAACATCCAAGTAAATAGTGCAGTGTGAAAATAATGTTGTATGACCGCCAATGCTGAACAAAAAGCCTAGAGAAAGAAAAGTAAGACATTCTTATCTTTCCCCTCTGAGTAATTAGCCATGATCAAACAAAACAAGTCATGATAATTAAGGGGACCGTTAATCAAGAGGAACTACCGTGATCGATGTATTCTCACAACTAATATTAAAGGAAATGATATTGAGAAAAGTGGGCAGAATCTGTCTCTTGACATTGCAACAAAGGAAGAAACACGGTAGGAAGGAGTCTGAGGAGTCACTTCACTTAGAACAAACAAATTCAGCAATAGGGAACGTTCTAAAACGACAGGTGGTAAGTATACCTCTTACTTATTAATTTGACCAGCCTTCGATTAAATGTCGAAACTATTTTGCAACTTGGCGCAACTATTTACTTGCTTTGGTTTTGCATTTCAAAACGATTTGATGGGCAGAGTAACCGCTCCTTTTTCTGAGCGTGACATGTATCAAAGAGTAAAAGCAAAACCCACTATGATCATCACCTGCTATAACGTGTGTCTTCCCGTTCTTGGCGCTCGATGACGGGCTCTTTAGATGTCTTATTCTTCATTTTCATTGGCCAGAGTAACTAACTTAATTTTGGCTTAACCCATTTGTTCCTAAACCGGCAGTAACCACAACGACTCTTGCGGATCCACGTCCCTTGTAGTCCTTGTGACGTCATCAGTTTTAACGGTCAAGGGAAAATTTGTCATCTAACTTGTGCAAGGGAAAGAGATCTTACAAACCATACGAGAATGAACACGATTCAGTCAAGGAGGCCGGACAAAAGAGAAAACACAATGTATAACGTTGACCCGAAAATTGCGATAAAAATCTTGTCCCACTACCCACCTGCATTTCGTTCCATCTTATCCTAAAATCCTAAAAGCCTTCCGAAAAGCTGTTGCGGCAGAATTGAAGCCTAGTAAATCCCCAGCAAAATAAAAGAGGGGGGCATGAAAAGAGAGGGGGAAAAGGGGAGGGAGGGGAAGCGAAAGGTTAAAGTCGAAATTTCTATTTCCGCGCATGTCCGAAGTTCGGAAGCTAATGTTTTCCATCTGGAACAGACGGCAGAGAACTGCTCGACCAGTAAACGATGTTTTGGGCAGTTTTGGCTCTTTATAGTCAGAATGGAACAAGAAAAAGTAAAATTACCAAGAGCAAATGGGTTAATAGAAGTTCATGTGCCAAGTTTTCAAGGAAAATCCACTTTTGAGCATTAAAAGTACCAAATCTGACCAAAAAATGCTGAATAACTTTGAAAATCGCTCGAAGTAAAGGGGATAATAAAATCTTTTACTTACCACATTTTCCTCTCTCGTTGTAAAAAACAAAATGTCCAAAACATAAACCAGATTTCCAACACCCAGCGACACGAGAAGACTCTTGTGTATAAATATGCGCTCAGATTTTTTCAATCTGTGAAATAAATAAATATAACTAATGAAAGCTTCCGGATTTAGAAGAAGAAATTGTAGGGTGGTAGAAAGGATATTACTCTTTTCAGTTAATTTTGTAAGGTCAAAATTTGTTCCAGTATTAATATCATAGGTGACGAGTTACTCCTTAATTTTGACGCGAAATTTCAGCGATAATTTGTAATTTCACATGTGAAATTACAAAATTGCCATGGCAACCTTCCGTACGTGTCAGTGTCAAGATGGCGACGAAGTTTTAAAATGCCGTGAATGAAGATGTCAGAGCACAAAAAGACGCTTTAGAAAACCTGAACACACAAATGAACATCAAGAAGGACTCTAACAGGTATTTTGCCGAAAAAGTCTGTAAAATTCTGAACTTTACAAGCCAAATTTAAGGCCTAAACATTTGAGAGAGTGGAGTTCTCGATCGATATGATCCAGGATAAACATGTCAAAAATCCAAGATTGCTAACGTAATTCATCACCCATGATATTAATAGGTAATCAAATGGTATACTCGTGAAATTAGGAAATAATTTCACTTGCGTTTTGTCCAAATCCTTAAAACGCGCGTGAAATTATTCCCTAATTTCACTCGTCACCACTTGATTACACATACTTATCACATGATTTAGATTTTAGAGTTTTGAGAGCTTTCCAGCCCAATTGAAAAAATACTGCTATCTTAAGATAACTATTCAGATTCTTAAATTGATTACTCCCATGTAAATCTATTCCAATTTTGTTAAAGCCTTTTTAAAGCAACGTTACGGTTATCCCATACCCCACCACTCTTGGAACGGAGACGTGAGTGAGATATGGGTACCAGTGAATACAAGATCCAATCGTTTTACATCATTAAGACCATAACCTTTTTTTATTACTATTATGGCGACTCAACTTTCATCAGCTGCAGTGAGATGTACACTAATCGTAAGCAGCTCGCCTTACCATACTTTGAAGGTTGATCTGCTGTAATCAAGGACGCAGAAGAGGGGCAGTATTTCTCACCTTAAGGCTGAAAAAAGTGTAAGTGCAAGAATAACAGCTGCTATTGAAATACAGATCAAAATTTTCTCCATGGTGTCCTGAATATTTTCATGCTTCTGATATTCCTTTGAAACGTTCGCATGATACAGGAAAATTGCCTTCTCCTAAAAAAAATAAAAAAGGGAAATAATTTGCTAAAATGATGAAGATGTGGTTATCACTTTTAGTTATACTCAAGTTTGACTTTTAGAAAAATTGTCGAGATTGCTGTCATTGTCAATCCTTTACAGTTACTAGCTACTTCTTTAACCTAACAACCGCATCTTTAATTTTATCATTTTTCAAAATAAATTTGGGCCAGTGAAAGCACAATTCTTAATAGCGTAAGTACCTCATCAAACATCAGCCTGGTGCAGTTGTTGTCGTTCAGTAATTCTCGTATTTGATCGTTAGTTAGTTCATTTGTCTACAAAAGGAAGTACAACAAATTAGCCGTTAACAATCCGTTATGTTCGTGGTAATAGAGAAGAAATTAATTTTTTACATTCCTACTTTAAACTAGAACGCGCTGATACTTGTAATTCTTTAAAGATTTCACCTTTGTTCCTCATCGAATCGTGTCGTGTTTAATGTGTTCGGCACTGGACAGAAATGAAGCGTCGGTTTTCCTTTTTTTATTATTTGAGCTCGAACAATGGCGTTTTATGGTTCAATGCATGTTAAAACGTTTTAATTTAGCACAACATACTTGTACCCTTCTTGTACCAGTTTTATTCAACAGTGCGGGTAAATACTTTTAAGAAGCCACGTGAAGAAAAACAGCGTGATTAGGCAAATCAGAGCAGAAGAGACTGAGTATGTGTCAATTACAGAATTAATGTGTTTTCCACTGGCTAAAAGTGTTTGCCCATGCACTACGAGGTAAAAATCATGTGGTCGATGTCCGGCAGTGTCATTGACTTTGAGGCGAAATGCCCGCGAACTATTGTGGAGATAAGAGAATCAATTCGAACGGTCGTTTTCTTGCCATCGTCAGAGATTGAGACTGACATATCAATGCAGTGACTCGATAGGTTTAACTGATATCGAAGTAGCGATTTTTGTCTTGCTTATTTTATGCTTAGATCAAGTCTCTTACAACCAGGTGCAACGGGAAATGATAAAACTATGGAAGAAGTACTTTTAGGATTCGTTTCGGGAAACAAATTAGCTTGAACCGAGTTGCACGGAATAACGGTATAGCTTGAGTGGCACGCGTGTTGCTGGGAAAACACAGAGCTATTTAATTACTTCGGCGAAGCGCGAAGTAAAGGATTCCCGACGCTCAGGAATGTATCAAAGTTGCCTTTTTTGACAAGATTGGGCACGTAAAGTTTGTAGGTTTTCGGTTTTATTCGGCTATTTGACGAGGTGAGAGCCGAATTAGTTCGAGATATCTCAAAATCACTTCGAATTCTTTGATTTATTCTTTAACTTTTTAGTCAGGTCTCTTAAGGTGTGGATCGTTACAGAGTTGACAAAAGCACCAAACTTTGCACAGCAATAGCTTATTGCATTTCCATGAATATTAGAGGGGGTGCCCAATGCAAATATGCTACTGAAGCGTGCTAAACAGGATTTAATTATTGTAAATTTCACCTGCTGGGGTCCCTGTGGTGTTTTGATTGAAAATTGTTATTTAATACCTTAAATAACTCAGAATACTCTTCTCATGTTGTAAACAACAATTTCACTTGAACATCTGGCATTCCCATCCATTATTAGCTTATTGATTGTATAATTAAGTTGATTATTTCTGTGCCCTTGCAGCAAGTCCACAGTCCGCCCACATTGTCATAAGTCATTTCTAAGATGGCCTCGTCTTTGCTTCATAACTGCAAGTACTCAGCTTCTGGGGTTCTCTTCTTCTTTTCTAATGTATTTCAATTAGAGGAGGCCTTATTGTGTGGCTTAAGTCCTATTTATCAAGTATTACTTGGCATTACATGTCACTTTAAGCTAAAGAAAGCGTATGGTTTAGCGATTCACCCACAAAATTTCAGGAAAAAAAGAAATTGTCAAAGAGTCTGTTATATCACACATTATCAGGGATTTATGACAGCTGTTCAGTCTCTCTTTATCTGCTGGACGCACGTGCATGTTTTGACTGAGAAGAAAGCATCGTGGCACAAGTACATATGATTTACAATTCCCGCAGTTTGTCTAAGCTTTACAAAGCAAAAACTAACAAAAAAAAATCTGGTCTCATAAACGGAAAAAAGAAACAAGTTAGCCCAAGCTTCACTAAACAGCACGGTTCATCATGAAGCCTCTACATTTGGCACTGAAGCACTCATGTCCAATAATATTAACAGCTTAACAAGTCTTAAAAGTGAGACTCAAGTGGTACAAGATTGACTCAAATGATAAATGGTGAATGGTTTAACTGCTGAAACTGCAGAAAGGGGGCCGGACTAACTTTTAGTGCCTTGTATTTCAGTTATAAGTTTTTTTCTGACTGACCTTTTCATTCTTGATTTAATTGTATTGCAATTATTTTAGTTAAAGCCTTCTTCGATTCCTTAAATTCCTCACGTCTTTTTTTTTGCTGACCCTAGGCCATTTAAGCCCCCGGCTTTGGCTGTTCTTGTGTATTTTTTCTGCCAGTGTGTGATATGTATTAATAAAGTAAGTTAAGTTAAATTAAGTTTACATGGAGGAGGGGGATGGACCCCAGGTAGTCATGGTAACTAACTTAGGTGGGGTATTAACCCGCATGTCCTTATAATCTCTCATTTTAATTTGATCACGTTTACATGAAAGGTGGGGTGACCCTTCAAGGTGGTTAGCCCGGTCTGCCACACCGGGTAACCCTCCCAGCTGAAGTCAAATTTTGCCATGTCAACGTTTCAAGGTGAGGTAACCACGGTGCGCACGCGGCTAGTCGGGGTCGGATTCGTGAATTCACTTTGGCGCCGGGTGGCTTCACATAGTTATTAAAGGTAACGATAGAAAGCCACAACACTGAAGGTTGCAGCAAGAGCAACAAGTGAGCGTAGACGTGGTTTGCTAGCATTTTTCTTGTTTACGTGCTTAGCGACCATTCAATAATCTTGAGAAAGTGCACCCCAGGATGGCGGGGTTGTAAGATTGCATGTAAAGGAGGGTTATTTTTTTTACCCCACCTAAGCAGGTTACCTCACCTACCTGGGGTCCCCAACCTTTATGTGAACAGGCTTTAAGTCTCAAGAACCGTGAAACTGGTAATAAACAGTATACCTAACCCGGGACTAGCTGTGATACTACTTCCATTTTCAAAAACGTCAGCATAGCAGCCAAAGGAGCCATTAAATCTGTGTAACACGAATATTAGATTGCGGATTTTTTATGCGTCTCGTTTTGTAACTTTTTTTGTGTTCGTTTTTGTCACCATCTCTAAATTTCAATCATGTTCAAAAACCCCTACTAACAAAACATTTCGTAAAGCTCTTTAGAATGATATTCAGCAATAAAAATAAGGTGTGACCAGGAGCGGATTTCTAGGCTCCTTGTGTGGCAACATAGGCATAAGTGAATGCAAAGTTTTGCGGTATGTAATCTGTCAGAAATCTGTTTGAGTGGTCAAAGTTGGGGCTGATGGGCTTCTTTATCATGACCACTCCATTATTATAAGGGACCAGGCCATAATTATTGTTGACCCTTGCTTTTTTTGGTTCTTTCTGTAATTTTCCACAGCATTATTTTGTGAAAAGTAGGTAACTGAATTGCTCTTGAGGAATTCATGATCGTAAGATTTCGTAACCACGGGGTATTCGCCTAATTGCATCAAACGAATTACATTCATTTTCATAAATGACACATCATTGGTTGGCTAAAAGAGGCCTTGTTCCTGTAACTTTCAGCTCTTCTGAAGTTAGTTTGTTTGTAAACTGTAACGCAAGCGACGAACTTCCTTTTTTTTTGAAAGATCGTATGGACCTGCCATTAACACTCTGGTGCGAGGGCTCTGAAGTGAATGAGCTCCTTATCGGTGTCTAGGCATGCAGGGACCTCATACACTTTTTTTAAATGCAAATGTGTAAAAAATAAAGAGTGTTAAAAATTCCTGGAGAGGCATGTTTTACAACCTGGCCCCCAGGGCTTAATAAAAAAGTAGAAAAAGGTAAAGCGACCATATTTTACGTCAATAACTCGTGACGGTAATAATAACTAATAAACTTGAGGTCGACGGTGCGCTCCTTTTCCCCCTCTCCCCATTAATGCTCCTTTTTAAGGGTAATTAAAGCTAGTCAAAGCTACACAGAAAGGAGAGAAGTTGAAATAAGAATGTGTTGACACCGGGGATCGAACTCGGGACCTCGCGCACTGAAGGCTGCGCACTAACCAACTGTGCCACCCTTGCTCCTTCTTTTCCCCCTGAGGACGAGGTTGACATGTTTTAATCATTATCTCAAGGACAGGGTTACCAACGAAGCAAATTATAATCTAATCTTAGTAGCACAATTACAACGTGGGCGCGTTGTCAGTTACGGTTCATGAGGTCGGTCATGTGGCATGTCAAAATTTAAAGATTCTAGCGTTTAGGATGTGATACATTTGGGTTTTTTGTTACTGTATGACATCTTTGAAAGCTGGCTTTGTGATCTGTTTAAATTGATATGTAATGATATTATCACTGGCAATTCTTAGCAGTGACACTGATAGCCGTACAGTGAACATGACCACACTTACCGTGTGGAGACTGGGCGCTAGTCAGTGTTATGTACATGTAAAACTATTTTGAATAGTGTAACAACAACAAAACATTACCAAATTAAAAACTTAAAAATTTGAAACAAATGTTTTTTAGCCAAATCAAACAAGAAGAGTACTCACCACAGGGGACCCACCCTACTATCATAGGTGAAAGTTAACCCCCCCTTTTATCTGTAATTAGGACCATTTGTAACGGGCACCCCCTCCAGTATTAATCGGCAGGTGCTAAGGAAGCTCTGTGCCAAATTTGACACTTTCGTCACGTCTGTAACGATCCGGCCTATATTTTGCACTAAGAGACCTGACTATTTTCGAGGAAGAAAGAATTATTATTTTCGCTTTCCCAGGGTTTGAACCGACTCACCTGTGTGACCCGTCAGATCAGAGGAGACACTAACTTGAGGGATTAGCCGATTGCGCTACTGCGACCCAGAGTAGTTCGAGCTATGAAAAATAGTTATGAAATGATGCGCCAGTATCGGGACAAGATTGGGCGGGCAAGTTCGTGACTTTTCTGCTTGTTTCGGCTATTTCACGAAATGAGACTGGACTACTTCGCGATATCTTGAGTATATCTTGATATCTTGTGTTCACTTCGAGTTTAGTCTTTAATTTACTCGAGGAATTAATAGAGGATATTACGTGACCGCGTAGAAAAACGAAATTTCTCCTCGAATGTTGAAGAACATTTCACGAGTGAGACATCCTTTCGAAGTGTTTTATGATGAATTT